GAAAATGCCTTCTCTGGACTGCCACAAAGGTGGTTAGCATTGCATGTCCACAGGCACCGAACAGGCCAGGAGTAGCCCAGGAGGATGGCCAAAACCTTGCCTTTCTTCATGAGATCACCAATAGTTGCAATCTCAGGGCTCCCTCCTAGCTTGTATGGAATAGGACAAAGCAAAAAGTATGGTTTCTATATCACAGTAGCAAAGAAACTCAATGGCTAGATGATGAACCTTGTTGGGAGATGGAGAAGAGCAACGTTCCTCACCAGGTGAACAATGGAACATAGGGGCCATGGCTGCTGGAAAACCAGTGGCTATTGCTGGATCCCTGGGCTCTCCCTTTACCAGCATATGCCCTTCATGGTGACATTGGTGCTAGCAGCAAATATTTCGGAGACTAGGCAAGAATGTGTGACTTGCTTTGTGAACGAAAGGCAACAGAAGTTTCTTATGTTACCCCCAGGTGAAAGTTTTTAAAAGACAGTTTGTACATGTCCTTCTTGATGCCCTGGGACCCAGCTACTCTCCTTGTTATGAACTGCATTATCAACTTGAGACTGCTATGAGCATGATGAGGAACAGATGCCCCCAGCATTGACTTAAGATGTATTTGAATCCTGAGGGAGAGAGAGTTTTAAGTTCTTGAATTTTTAGTGTTGTTTGTTATGGCAGCACGATCTCTCCTATCCTGACCAATATACCACATCTCTGCTTGAAGATCTTTAGTGGTTTCTGTCACAGCCATAATGCAATTTCAGATCCTTGCCACGGTCTACAAGATTTGACCTGCCTTCCAAACTCATCCTCCCTGGTCTTGCCTTGCTCACTTTTTTCCAGCCACACAGTCTTTCTGCTCTTCAAATATAACAAGCTCATTCCTGTCCCAAAGTCTGGCAATTGATATTCTCTCTTTCTGGAATAATTTCCTTTCTGACACTCAATCACAAGTGGCTCTAGATGCACTTAGATGCTAGTTTCTTCAGAGGGACCTTTGCTAACTATGTGTAAAGTGGTACAGCTACTCTCTATCCTATTAACCTCTTTTTTTTGTTGTTTTTCCTTCTAATCCTTTATAACTTTTTGAGATCCCTTAGCCTTTGGTTAATGTCTGTTTTCTTCTCTAGAATATAAGAAAGAAATGTTATCTGTTTCCAGCACCTAGAACGGGGCTGGCCTATTGCAAGAATTCAGAAGATATTTCATAAGTGAATGGCTACATATGCAAATGAGTGGAATTTGTTGCCTGGTGGACAAGATCCAAAGGAGAAACTAAAAGAATGGCATTCATTTTTCCAAACAGAAAAACTCGTCCCCACATCCAGCAATGCTAACCTTACCTAGTTCCTGGCAGAGGGACTCGGCTTTGATTTGGAGCCTTGACCATTTCCTCCCAGAGTTAGGCAGTAGACTCACTGTGATAAATGGCCCCAGCTCCTTGCTGCGTTTAATGGCAAACCCTGATCCAAGTAGAACTGCAGCCAGGTGGCTCCTGGGAGCCCTGGAATATGACTTCCAGGGAGACAACAAAACCTGGACAAGCTAACGCCATTCCAGATACATTAACTCGTAATCCCCAGGAAGCGCACACTGCCCATGAAGGAAGAGGACGCTCCCCTCTCCACCAGCACTAATAACCATGGTTAATCCTCATCCCCATAAAAGGCTCTCGCTCATGCGTCTGGAGAAGCTTCATCAATGTCAGCACAAGGGGCCCAATGCAGACACAGACAAGGGCAGCCAGCCTTGGTGGTTTATGCAAAACTTTTGTTGGGGGCTCAGAGCATCCCCAAGCAGCCACCCAACCCAGCTCACCTGCCTGCTCTCCATGTCCAAAGAAAGACAACTGTCGCTGCAGCCAGGATTTCAGCAGCATGCCTTTATTCCCAGTAGGGATGCAGGAGGCTGGGTCTCTGCCTCTATAGTGAGGAGGACGGACGGGGGCTCCCATGCGTTTGAATCATGTTGACAGCCCAAGATCCCATACAGCCAACTGGGCTGGATTAACCTTCCAAGCGCTCTCGGCTGAAGCTCCTCCTGCTGCCCCACCCCTCCTTTGTCTCCTGCTCTGTTCCCTCCTCAGGCTTCTGATGGAGAGTTCTCCAAGTCTTGGGACTCAGCCTTCTGCTGTTTGCCCCTGACCTTTCATGATGATGGTGCTGGGTTAGGGAGCTCCTCCCCGCTCCCTGATCTACCATCCCTCCTTTTGTAATGATGTCTAAATTCCCCCTTTCCTCTCGGCTATGTTGGGAGGTTTTCAAACCAATGTTTTTCAAATAGTAATCCGTGGACCAGCATCCATTTGTGGTATAAGAAAAAAAATAAGTTTTTTTTTAAATAAAGGTAATTATGTTTACTGTAAAAGATTATCTATTATGAGATGTGTCCTTTATTTGGTAAGATTTTTTTTTTT